CTACTTGGGAAGCCGAAGAAGACATGAAGAAGAGATATCCATATCTCTTTGAATTCGCAGATCAAGGTATTAATTTCCTTCTTAGTGCTCTTTAAATTATAGTGGGCATGTTGTTGTTGTTGTTGTTGTTGTTGTTGTTGCATGATTGCTTGTTGGGTGTTTGAATTGATGTTACACCCTTAGCCTTGTAAGAGTAAACTCCTTCGAGGACGAATGTTCCCAAGGGGGAGATATTGTAACATCTGACAATTTAAAATGAATATGAAGAAGCTTGAAATTGGAAGTAGTCATTTTTCGAAAAATTCAGAATTTGGAAATTTGGCTAAATTCAGAATCTAGAAAATTTGGTTAAGTGTGGAAAAAAAATGAGTTTTTGGTCAACTTCAAACAGTCATAACTCCTGTCTCAGGATGAGTTAGGTGTATTTCCAGATATTTTTGGAAAGCCCTTGGAATGACCTTTTCAACGCCACTGAGTTTGCTCGATTCCGAGTTCGTATGAGTGAGTTATGCCCTTTGGAAGTTGGGCAGTTGGCAGAGATTTCTGTCCGGAAATTTTTAAGGGTATTTTGGTCTTTTCTCTAATCAATTGTTTTGGTTATATTAAAGTGTTAGACTGATTTTAGATCAGTTTGTCTCATTTTTTTAAAGAGTAAAGAGCTAGGGCTTGGGAGAGAAGAGAGAAAGAAGAGAAGGAAGAGGAGAAAGAGAAGAGCAATCAAGGAGATCATCGTGGATATCGTCGGGGGTGATCCCTACTAGGTATGTGAGTTCATAGTGATGGGTTGATTCTTTCCCCCACACACCAAACTCGTTTTATTATTGAGAAAAGATTGGTTGTGTTGTTTGGAGTTGTTGGTTGTGTGGTTGATATTGTTAATTGTGTTGTTGAAGTCCCTTGTTGATTTGGGACATGATTTGGTTGTGTTTTTGAGTTGAATCTATTGTATGTAAGTTCATAGTGTTGGTTGGTTCATACCCCCACACGCCAACTCATTTTTAATTCCAAGAAAATATTTATTTTGGTTGTTGGAGTTGTTGGTTGTGTTGTTGAAGTTCTTGTTGATGAGGGATATGTTTTCAGTTGTGTTCTTGAGTTGAATCTATTGTATGTTGAGGGGTTTTATGTTTCTAAGTGATTGGGGCTGAAACCATTGAAGTTGAGGGCTGGCGCGCTTGGCAAAGTGCCCAACAGGCCCCTTTGAAGTTGAGGACTGGAGCCTGGCAGAGTGCCCAACAAGCCCCTCTGAAGTTTGAGGGCTGGCGCCCCGCACCTCTTAAAGCGCCAAGGACGCCAATCCTTCCCGTTACCTTCATTCTCCACTTTTTCATACATATTCCTTGGTAAAGTACCTATGTTTTATAGTTGTTTCCAATACTTTAAGGTACATCTTAACATCCCAAACTCATCCATAACATGTGATCAAACACCTTGAATTCATAATTCGGTTCAAGGAGAGTTAGTTTCCAAGTCAAGTGAAGTTAGAAGTCAAGTGAAGTTAGAGCCAAGTTTAGAAGTTAAGTAAGTCAAAGCAAGTTTTTTTAAGTTGTTCAAGAGTCTTTAGTGAACGTTTTAACTTCATTTTTAAGACTCAAGTTTCAAGTCAAGTAAAGGGTATAGAGTTTCAAGCCAAGTGAAGAGTCTCAAGTTTCAAGTTAAGTCAAGAGCATAAAGTCGAGTCCATTTCTCCAAAGTTATTAGGGAACTATGTATTTCCCAAAGAAGTTTCTAAATGTTTTTACATTTAAGTAAGAAAGGAACATCGATTCCAAAAGAGCCTTTCGGCTAGATTTTGAGTAATTATCTCAAGTTAAAGAAAGATGTGTTTAAAGACACTTATGAGCCAAAGTATTTTTTGGAGTAGTATTGAGCACCGAATTGGGGACACGAGTTCATATTAACTCAACTCTCCATAAGAACCATGCGCCAACATGGGATTTCTCGGGTCATACTTTTTAGATGATCACGAAAGTTAAGCTAGTGGATCCACTTAGTAAAGTTAGCTTCCTATATCACGGCAAGGTATATGATGGTCCTTGGGCAACATGAGGTAAAACGTTGTATCATCATTAGGGCTCATAGTGGTGGTTGTCAGTTAAAGAACCTCCCATATAAGTTATATTACTTTTATATAAGTAAAGTTGAATTGTTATTGTTTTATCATTAACAAGCTAAGTTGTTTATACTATTTTACAAGCCTTATATATTACATGTGTCTTATTGCTTTATATATTGAGTTCAGTTATTCATGAGTCGTACAGAGCCAAGGTAAGAGTTCCTTTTTACTCTTTTCAAGCTTAAGTGGTTGTTTAGCTTTCCAGCTCGCATACTCGTACATTCTATGTACTGATGCCAGTTGGCCTGCATCGTCTTATGTTGCAGACGCAGGTACCCAGGATCAGCATCCAGTACGCCGTTGATCCAACTGAGCACTCCAAAGTCAGTAGTGAGCCTCCTTGCATTCCGGAGGACTCAATTATTTTGTGTTCTTAGTTTTGTTTTATTAGGGTGTTGCGGGGTCTGTCCCAACACCCCTCTCAGTATTTTAGAGGCTTCATAGACAGTTAGTTTTGAGTCTCTCATCTATGTATATATGTAAATATTCTATTTTGAGATTTGAGTTGTCTTTGTGGCCAGATTTTATAAGTTAAGTTGTTTTGTAACCTTGCATTTGCATTGAGTTATTCTGTTGGGTTAGGTTTCCGCTCAGTTAAGAAAGCCAGGCCAAGGGTTCGCTTGGGGCCAGAAATGGTCTCAGGGTGCCGGTCCCGCCCAGGGTGTAGGTTCGGGGCGTGACAAAAGGTATAGGACCTGAACTGCCTAATGGATCCACTAGTCTATCTGAAAAAGGATTCATCTAAAAAGTATGATCCTTTTCTACCCATGGTGGCTAACATGGTTCTATGGGGGATGTGGGTTCCTTGAACGCTCCCCCAACTCGATGCTCGATACTACTCCCAAAATATACTGGCTCTTATGTTTAAAAAGAACATACTTCTTTTTGCTGATTTGAGATAATTACTCAAAACTTAGCTCAAAGGCTATCTTGGAAATCTCAGTTTCCTTTCTTGCTTCATTTAGAAAGCGATAACTCTTTTTCTGGAAAACCAGCCCGAAGGCTCTTAGGAAATCTCAGTTTCCAATCTTGTTTAAATGTGAAAACATTTCTTTAAAACTACTTTGGGAATACATAGTTCCCTAATAACTTTTGAGAAATGAACTCAACTTTATACTCTTGACTTAACTTGAAACTCTTTACTCTTTACTTGACTTGAAACTTAAGCCTTAAAATGAAGTTAAAACGTTCAACAAAGACTCATGAACAACTTTAAAGACTTGCTTTGACTTACTTCTTAACTTCTAGACTTGACTCTAACTTCACTTGACTTTGATCCAAGCTTTCCTCGAATTGTATTATGAATTCAAGGGTAATGATCTCATGTTTATGGATGAGTTCGGGAGGTTTAAATGTACCTTAGGGAAAGTAAGGAATGAAAGGGAAAACTTGGCATCCTTGGCGCTCTGAGAGGCGCGGAGCGCCAGCCCTACAACTTCAGAAGGGGCCTGCTGGCGCTCTGCTGGCGCGCCGCCCCAAGGACTGGGCTTCAGAGCCCCTTTTAGGGCGCGCTGGTTGGCGCGACGCCCCAACCCTTTTCCCCGAAAACTCAACTTTTATCCTTCCTTTTTCCAACTCTAAACCATATAAACCTCAAAGGTTCCAACCCCAAAAACTTAGAATCATTAAAACCCTCAACATACAATAGATTCAACTCAAGAACACCACCGGAAACATACACCAAACCAACAAGAACTTCAACACAATCACAACCAACAACTTCAACAAACACAATCAATATTTTCTCAGAATTAAAACGAGTTTGGCGTGTGGGGGAAAGAACCAACCCAACACTATGAGCTCACATACCTAGTAGGGATCAACCCCGACGATATCCACGACGATCTTTGACGAAACCTTGCTTGATCTTCTCTTTCTCCTCTTCTTCTCCTCTTCACTCTCAAACCCTCACTCTCACTCTTTAAAATGAGAAAAACTGATTAAAATCAGCCTAACACACTAATATATATCCAAAAGAAAAGGCTAGGAAAAGACCAAAATACCCTTACAAAATTTCGGGTAAACTGTCCTGCCAACGGCCCAACTTCCAAAGGGCATAACTCACTCATACGAACTCGAAATCGAGAAAAATTAGCGACGTTGGAAAGATCATTCCACGAAATTCGCAAACATAACTGGAACTACACCTAAATCATCCTGAGATAGAAGTTATGACTGCTCAAAGTTGGCCAAAACTCACCTTTTCCCCATACTTAACCAAAATTTCCAGATTTTTGAATTCCTTCCAAAAATGATTAATTCCAATTTTTAAGCTTCTTCCTAGTTATCAACTTGCAAGATGTCACAATAGTCATGTGCCTTGAGCATCCACTGTCCATGTACCAACACTGACTCCTTCCTCTCTTCTGCATAGAAATTAGCTGTTAGATTTAGGAACCCACTTCAGACGGAGTTCCCAGTAATTATTAAGAGGTCTGATAAGAAACCTTTCTGTCCAGTGAGGCAGGATGTTCTTACTGAAACGATACAGGGGACCGGGTCCCTTGTGTCCCTTTTTAACATCATTTCAGATCTAACAAATCTCACATGCCTTTCTTTAGCATTTCTCAGACTTTCACAATTTTCTTTCAAATGACCATTTCGACCACAGTGAGTGCACAAAAGGTTGTCAGATACAGACACATATTTGCTATGGGGATTGTAGGGAGGTTCTATTGGTTTGCGTCCCAACCCTTTCTTTCCATTGAAACTTTGATTGGACAGATTAGAGAGTATCTTATAGGAGTCAGTCCATTTTAGGGAGTGACTTAATTCTTCCTTGACCTTACTCAGATCCTTTCTCAGTTGAGAATTTGTGTCAAGAGAAGCGACTAACTTAGACTCAGAATTTTTTAGCTTTTCTTCCAGTTCTTCCTAAAAAATGCTAAAGCTTTCTCTTCCCACCTACTGAGTTTCCAGGGTTCTTCTCAGGTGTTATGTTACTAGTTTCTAGAGTTCCTATCCTTTCACTAATTTCAGCAACTTGAGACATGAGAGCAGAATTCTTAGCTTCACAGAAACTTAATTTTTTATTCAACATTAAGTTTTCAGTGGTTCGTTCATCAACACAGTCAATAAGCAGAGCAGCAAGCTTCCTCAAGTTTTCAATAGGCAGATTATCTAGATCATCTTTAAGATAAAAAAGAGTTACCTCGTCTAAATCCTCTTTATCATCAGAATTTGCCATTAAGGAGAAAATAGAGTTGGAAATGCTTTCATCATCTTCAATGGCCATCATTGAAACATCCTCATGACACTCTACATATTCTTCTGATTCACTTGAGTCATTTCCCCACACAGCAAAGGCTTTTCTCACCAACTGATCTGCAGGTGCCTTCCTTTGAGCATGGTCTGGGACCAAGTCCCTCTTGCGAGGTCTGGTGTTATGAGTTTCCTGCTTTTGACAAGGCTTGCCACACTTATGGAAAAGATCATTTGCAGTAGCAGTTCTGCTGGAATGGGTTTTCTTTTGGAAGCCTCCATGCTTCTTTAAGATCTTCTAAAATCTTTTAGTGACATATGTCATCTCATCCTCCTTTTCAGTCACCTCACTTTGAGATATTTTCAAAGCAATGGACTTCTCCTTCTTTCCTTCCTTCACAGTTATCCCTTGTTTCTTGTTCATCTCGTAGGTCTGAAGATTCCCAATCAGTTCATCCATAGGAAGCGTCATTAAATCTTTGGCCTTTGTTATGGCATCCACCTTGCTTTCCCAAGATTTTGGAAGCACCTTGAGGATCTTGCGAATTTGCTTATAGACAGGAATAGGCTCACCCAAACCTCTCAGCTCGTTGGTGATAGAGGTGAATCTTGAGTTCATCTCAAAGATGGTTTCCCCTTCCTTCATAATGAATTTTTCATACTGAGTGGTAAGCATATCAACCTTAGACTCTTTTACTCGCTGAGTTCCTTCATGGGCTGTTTGAAGACAATCCCATATCTCCTTGGCAGTCTCACAAGCAGAAATCCTGTTGTACTCATCTGCTCCAATTCCACACACCAAAATCTTCTTTGCTTTGTAGTTCTTTTCTATCTTTTTCCTATCTGCCTCATTGTAGTCCTTTCTGGTTTTGACAACAGTGGTGGTAAGCTCCTCATCCTTCATCTCCTTTGTAGGAATATATGGTCCATTAAGAATGATGTCCCATAACTCAGAGTCATCAGCGTTGATGTAGTCGTGCATTCGATTATTCCACCATCCATAGTATTGTCCATTAAAACGCGGTGGCCCGGTGGAAGATTGTCCTTCCTCCATATTGAGTGGAGCAGCCATTCCTTCAGGATCCTTTCTTTTCTTGGTGTTAACCAACTGAAAAGTCAAGCTTTGATACCACTTGCTGGAATGTATGCGTCCACCAGTATCAATGGAACCAGGTCCTCAGCACAGTTGAAACTAAAACAGTAAAGAACAAGTGCTGAAAAGTAAAGATTGACAAGAGAGTTTACGTGGAAACCTCCTTGCTCAAGGGAGTAAAACTACGACCTGGCCTGCCAGGACTTTTAGAACTGCTTTTCACTAATCTTCTCTAAGCAAAAGTAAAAGCCAGTTACAAACCAAGATTATCCTACTAATCCCAACTCTAAGTAACACCTCCTATTACTTAGACGAGCTAGAGTAGATACCACACTACCCACTATACTAATCCTATCCAGATTAATATAGATTTTAGAGTAAGAACCAAGTTAACTCTAACTCAGAACTCACAATGATTCACACAAGTTGAAACTTTTCTTATCACAACGAAACGAATCCTACAATGTAAGCACTATTACAAGCAAACAAAATAACAGCTGGTACAAGAAGCTCTTGAAGCTATCGATCAAATCCCTTGTTGTTCTTGAAGCTTAAAAAAAACTTTTTCCCTTTTGAATGAATGAATGATAATGTTGTTTGTTGTTTGATATACACCATGAAGAAATACTACCAAACGTACAATCAACCTCATCACTTCTGATTGGTGGAGTACTCTGCAGCTCACTAACTTTCTGACGCAGACAACTTTCCAGCTGTCCAGCACTTTGACCACTGGACGAGTATTCATACTCTGCAGAGGACCAGGTCCCTACACTTGTGAGGAGATCATCAAAACATCAAGGAACATAAGAATTTATCAATACATAACCGCTGTTTCTGAAGGGCAAGCATATTCAAAAAAGTTATTCTGAATTAGCACATTGCAGGAATTCAAAGATGTCGAGCCTAAACAACTTTGAGCAAAGATGCTCCATTTTGTACTAAGTTGTCTATCTCTGTCATATACTAATACAAACTTAATATAGTTTATTAATGCATTCAAGCAGCTATTTATTCCTTAAATCTTTCCTCGTTGGTGATCTTTAATGCATTCAGAACAGGCAAACTACATTCGATGTTCTGTTATTCTCTTCAGTTCATGTGAATTTACTATTCTAGTTTCATTTTAAGGCCTCAAAGTACGTATGTAGTGTGTCGAAAAGAGAAGTTAAGTTGCATATAGTTTTGTCTTAGACTAGTAATTTATGTGACGTGTGCGTCTTTTCTTAATTGGTAGGAGGAGATAGAACCATAAAGCATTCTTTTAATGCAAAAATCCTTTGATGATTCAGTCGTTGTCTATCTTTTCAATATTCTGTTCAAATTAAAATAGAGCAGGATCATGAGTGTACGACATAATAACAGTCGGCTATATCATTGACTGCTTGTTAGGAAGAACCATGGACATGATGATGTGAGGTTCATTGTTTTTAAATATGAACAAAAGAGAATTGACCTCTCTGGATCAATAATGTCCTTAATCTGCCAAGGACCATGCATTTTGTTGTTGATCAGGTTAACCATCAGTTAGGAGTTACTATATATACCGATGATACAGTTAAGACCCTTGAGCATACGTAACTTCAAAGTTACTATACATATGATGACACGAGTCATGGTTGCTATAGATCCGCTTCCGTTAAGGAGAAACTGTAACTAGTACTTTCGGTCCAAATACTATAAACAAGAGCATGTAGTAGGGATACTGTCATGAATCATTTCAAACATAAAAAAAGATATTTTCACTTCACCTGGTGTTATGGCAGAGTTATGTACTTAACCAGTGAAACCTTACTGCCAAGTGTTTTCAGTGGACATTGTGCATTCTGATTGATGTTTCTGTACTACTGTTAAGAAATTCAAACCTCAAGCTCGAGAACGTAGTTTTACGGCTCCTGCAAATACATTGGTGCACTTCCTTCAATGCAGGTGTGATAACAGGAATCCAATGGCTCTGCACACATAATTTACTCCCTAAAATCTATATTATTGAATGACCAATTTAACCCTATTGCCTCTAGGTTAAAGTAGATAATAGATACTCCATCGGTTCCTTGTTAGTTGTCATGTATATTAAGAAAATACTTGTTCAAAAAGAGTTGTCAATTTAAACAATTTACCACCCCAAGTTATGATGAGTGTAAGAGCCTGTTTGGATTGGCTTAAAAAAAAGGAGCTTTTAAGTCAAAAATAAAAAATCAAACTGAAATGACTTTTAAGTCAAAAAATAAAAAGTAGGGGAGACCTACTTTTGGTTTCTGACCTATTTTAAGTCATTTTTGACTTATTTTAAGTCATTTTTCTACCTTGCCAAACACTTCGTAATTTATTTTAAGTCATTTTGAACTTGTTTTTTATATTTGTCAAACACTTTCAAAAGTAAAAAATGGACTTAAAAGTAGGTTTGACCGATTTTTAAGCCAATCCAAACGGGCTCTAAGTCCTAAGTACAGCTTTAGAGCTTGTAGTCTTAGCTCTTTATTTAATGAGTCTGTTGTGTTTCGATTGAAGATTCTGTCAATGGATGCATTTGTCTTGTCAGTCGGGATACACAAATTTGTCTATGGAATCCATCAATTAGAAAGTACAAGAAATTGTCTTATCCTAAAATTACCTTGGTCGAGTATATGGTTTTGGATATGATGTTTATAAGCTAGTGGTTATCTTTAGCATTCACAGACATAAAGTTCAGTTCAAATTGAGGTGAAAATATCATATATATATATATACATAAAGAACCCTAGGCCCGCCTATGTGGCGCCACCACAAACTAGAATTCCCTTTTAATTTATTTATTTTCAAAATTAGCATTTTCCTTTCATGAAAAGTTGTGACTTTTATGAAACGTTGTACCTTTTATGAAGAGTTGTGACTTTTATGAAAATTTATGACGTTTATGAAAAGTTATGACTTTTATGAAATGTTATGACTTTTAGGAAGAGTTATCACTTTTATGAAAAGTTGTGACCTTTTCGAAGGGTTATAACTTTTCCAAAGAGTTGTGACATTTCTGATGAGACACAATAAGCATTTGTTCACACTACCTTTTGTTGTCTATAAATAGAGGGATTTTCTCTCATTTTCAAACAACAAAAAATCTAATCTTCTTCTTCTTCTTCTTCTTCTTCTTCTTCTTCTTCTTCTTCTTCTGCACACAGACATAGATAACTACAAAATAAATTAATTGCTCATATTCTATATGAAATATGGACAGATTCTCAAGTTTACTACAAGTTGTAAATATTTTTCTTGAAGTAGTAAATGTGTTTCTCAACACTGCGATTGGAATAGAAGTGTAGTTTCAAATTGAACTCCATCAGTATGTTATGTTGATTATTAAAAAACACTCAAACAAACTGAATAGTTTTGTGTAATATTTTTTTCCCTTTCAAGTATATATAATAAGTTCAATTGTTGTCCAATATGATGATACATTCTCCCTTTGATTTTTCATTTTAATAATTAATTATGATACATTTAAATGAGAAATTTTAAAATGATATATGTAAAGCAAAAGGTAGGGTTGAACTTTTTACACGTTAGAATAATAATATTTGTTCACTTTTTTAAGCCTTTTAAAATTTATTTATCCTTTCACCAACGATTATTCATTTATTAGAAAATTTAATATCTCAGGTTGATGTTCATTTGATTCCCCAAAAAATATCAAATAGTAACACTTCTCGAAAGACAAATGATAAATTATAAAATCAAATTAAAGAAGATTGATTGAAGGATAAATTATAAGATGTTATATTTTCCTTTACATTATTAATGTTTGTTATTATGTAATCTTGTATGTAAGATAAAATAGTGTTTTAGTTCTAATGGCAGATAAGTTAAAAGTATTATTTTATAAATTCTCGTGTGAAGCGCGGGTAATTTTACTAGTATATATAAAAGAGAACCTCAGGTCCGCCTACATGGCACCACCACAAACCATGATTCCCTTTTAATTTATATATTTCCAAAACTATCCTTCCCTTTTCATGAAAAGTTGCGACTTTTACGAAGAGTTGCGATTTTTCTGAAAAGTTGTGACTTTTATGAAAGACTGTGAACTTTTCGAAAAGTTGTAACTTTTCCAAAGAGTTGTGACCTTTCCAATAAGGCACAATAAGTATTTTTTCACACTACCCTTTGTTGTCTATAAATAGAGGGATTACCTCTCATTTTAAACAATGAAAATTCTGAACTTCTTCTTTTTCTTCTACAGCACAATTAAATATTCGTGTACTTTGCTCATGTTGAGTGGCTCACTGACAACGTTATTTTTGTATCAATACATTGGTGAATAGAATCGTTCTATTCAGTGAGGATTTATTCCTTTAAATTTCAGGTACTAAAGGGGAATAATTTCATTAAAGGGACATTGTGCACTCAATGGGCTCAATTTTTTCCTTTCTATTTTCATTCTATTGTTATAGATCCTGATATATTTTTTATAGTCATTAATCTATGCTTATATTATTAATTTTTGTTTTTGAGTACATGTTTTAAAATTTGTTGTTTATGTTTCTGCAAAGCTATTGTTATAAGTATTTTTTGGTATAAATTAAATAACACACATTAATTGAGTATTCACGCAAGTTTTCTCTACTGCAATTGTTGAAGGTACAATAAAAAAATCCCTTAAAGATCTATACTACCATCTCTTGAAGACAAAATTCAAATTTGGTATGCCATTGTAAGGACATAAAGACCTTAAAAACCTTATCGTACCTTGATGTGCGAAGTGAACTAGGAAAAGAAGACAAGAATTAATAACTTTTGACATGATGTGCCAAATGACCTATAGAGGAATTTGACTTTGACTGGAGCCTCTTTTAATCCCAAAGACATAGATAAATACACAAGTGTTTCATAGAAGTGTAGTTTCAAATTGAACTCCATCACACTGGTACGTTGATTTTTAAAAAGCACCCAAACAAACGGAATCCTTTTGTGTAATATCTTTTTCTTTCAAGTATATATGATAAGTTGAATTGTTGTCCAATATGATACATTCTTCCTTTAATTTTCCATTTTAATAATTTCTTATGATATATTTAAATGTGAAACTATAAAATGATATATGTAAAACAAAAGGTAGGGCTGAACTTTCTACACATTAAAATTAGAATATTTGTTCACTTTTTTAGGTCTTTTAAAATGTATTTATCCCTTCAAAAATGATTATTTATTTATTAGAAAATTTAATATCTCAGGTTGATGTATATTTGATTTCCCAAATATATCAAATAGTAACACTTCCTGGAAGCAAAATGATAACTTATGAAATTATTAATGTTCGTGACTACCTAATCTTGTATGTAAGATAATATAGTGTTTTAATTTTAATGACGGATAGGTCTTAAGTATTATTTTATAAATTTCGTGATATTAAATTCTCACGCGAGGCGCGGGTAATTTTACTAGTATAATCTATAGAGTGATTTGCGAAGAACTGTTGATAATTATCGATGTTTGGTGCCACAATAACAGTCAAGTAAGTTTGTGAATGGAAAACTTCATTGGAATACTAATAGGTAGAATATCCTTGTTTCATCTGGGCTACCAACCCGAGGAGATCAATTATCCTCTATACTAACCCAACATCTCAAAAACTATTCGTTAGGATCCATAACTACTATTTGTCCATTGGAATAGCGCACCTTGTCCATATAGACAGGGGCGGATTTAGACACTGTCACGTGACACGGTTTCGTTGATTTTTTTTACCGAATATACCTATATTAAAAATAAATAAAAAAACAACTAAAGGGTAAAAAACTTTACAGGGCAATCCTTGCAACATAATGTAGCTAGCTCATATGGCAGACGCGCCACAGTCTTTACGCGACGTCACGGGTTCGATTCCCAGGGGGTACGTTTTTCTTTCTGTGTTTTTTATTCACTTTTTCTGTTTGTTTTATTCACATTTTAATTTTTTCTTTTCTTAAAATTATTAAATTTTTGTTTTAAATTCAAAACAATAGGTCCCTTCATTAAAAACCTACCCACCCACTTAAATTCATTCAAAATCTAACATTTTTTTTTTTAGAATTAATATAAAACTCAAAATCTCCTTTATCAATTAGAGTTATAGTTAAATAAAAATAGTGTTGACTCCTTAAATCCTTGTATTAGTATATTTCTGACTTGTGAGTTTGTTCAATTTTCTTTCCGTTCTTGTTCATCAATCATTGTTATTTGCCTCTCGAATCTCCACATCAGATTAATATTTTTTTGCTATTCTATTTTTTTTTATTATGTGTTTGAATTTTTATTCTTATATGTTCATAACAATAATTTTATGTTTTACATTTTTTTTTTTAAAGATGTTAATCATTTATTTGCAATGCAATCTCATGTTGAATAATGTTGTATAAAACTTTATTTAATAATATGAAGATGTGAATGGTTTAATTTAAAATTTTATAATATTATCTAATTAAATGAGGCCTCCAAGAGGCCTAAAATAAAACTTTCATTGATTTTCTTCTTGAGCCATTTTAGTCCTTTTAATGGTGACATCGCTTTGAAAAAATCGTGCGTACACCCACTGCATATAGACCCAAACACAAATAGGAACAAATGTGATTTATTAGCCGAAAACCTTTCAATATCATCATCTCATATATAGAGGTACATCAATTTGTCCACAAGTTTGAAAACCATGTTTAAAGTTATTAAATATATAGATGTCCTTCCTTTTTCCTAGGGTATCGTAATGATATACTTCAGTTGTTTTTAATTTATATTCTTCAATTGCAGTGTTGCACTTCAATAATCGATCGGAACCCCTTAATTTTTTTGAGAAAAAAAAAGTAAAAAACTGATGGTCTCTGTCAATTTTCTTTTTAGAAAAAATTATTATAGTTGTCGTACATTTTTGCATTAAAAAATAATTAAGAAAATCAATGAAAACCGAACCGACCGAGTGTATCAGTTATTTTTTTTCCCGATATTACCGGAAAGCATGTGATAATACAAAGCTTTAAAGATTGGTGTATTATTTATTTTGGAAAACTTACATAAATATACTATAAATAAAAAAATATTTACCATTAATAGCAATATCATTTTTTTTCACTTGATCACTTTTAATACATTTATAATACACTTATAATACAATGTGTCAACTTCTTATCAAACAAGCATAATATATTTTTAAAAACAGTTATAATACATATATATTGCATACTTAATTTACTTTTAATACATATTGCAGATTTAACATAATACTGCTATGTATTGCTATAAATGGAAATAAGTAAAAAATATCGCTAAAATCAGTAACTACGAAGTATTTGGGGATAAAGAGAAGTCTAAGAATTACGAAATATTGTGCGCTACACCTTTATTTAGACACATTTATTTTGAATTATTAACTGTTTTATAAATTTTATTTCAAAATAATTAAAAATTATATGGGAATAGTTTGACTCTTATTAGGAATTAACGGAAATAAATTGATAAAAGGAGTTGTATACGAATAGGGTTTTAGTATATGTACAGAGAGATTCATATAAGTAAAATCAATTCTCAATTTTCATCAACCACCATGGAAAATTCAATTCCTGTTCTGCCAGAAGAACTTGTTACTGAAATCCTTTCGAGGCTTCCGGTAAAATCCCTCTTGAAATTCATGTGCGTTTCAAAATCTTGGCTTGCTTTGATTTCTAGCCCTGAATTTGTCAAAACTCATCTCAGCTTAAATGCTAATAACAACGAATACACCTGCCATAAGGTTATGATGTTTGAACGTACTGCCTACACTTTTCGAGATTGTAGTGTTAGCTCTTTATTTAATAACTCATTTCGAGATTGTAGTGTTAGCTCTTTATTTAATAACTCATCGATCAGGGCAAACAACTTGGATTATCCCAGGCAAGTTCCATGTTGTTTTAATATGGTAGGTTCTGTGAATGGATTGATTTGTCTTGTTAGTCAACTGAAGGAATTCTTTCTATGGAATCCATCAATTAGAAAGTATAAGAAGTTGTCTGATTGTAAAACTAAAACTAATTTCGTGTATTCCGTATATGGTTTTGGATATGATGAGTTCCATGATGATTATAAGGTAGTCGTTATTTTTATCATTGGCAGAGATGACTTTTCACTTCAAATTGAGGTAAAAGAATATAGTCTAAAAATCGATTCTTGGAGAATGGTTGATAATTGTCCAAGTATCACACCGCTACAGCAGTCAGGTATGTTTGTAAATGGGAAACTTCATTGGGTTAGTGTTATTGATCTTAAACAAAGCATCATTTCTTTCGATTTGGCTTATGGGAAATGGGGAGAGATGGAACTACCCTGTTATTGGAAAGGAGGAAGAGGTGAGGTTTTGAGCTTGGGAAGTGATCGTTTGGTCTTTTGTGATTATGACGAAACATATATGTTAGATGTTTGGCTTATGAAGGAGTATGGGGTTAAAGAATCTTGGATGAAGATGTTTACCATCAAGATTTCAAAGGATCAATTGGTGTATGGATTTCTTGGGCAAAGACGTGTACACATGGCAAGTGGAAGTGAAATTTTGGTTGTATTTGGATCAAGTTTCATGATATACAATACAAAGGGTGACCCGCTCAGATCTTCAAAGATTATTGAGGCTAATAATTGGGACGAGGCGGAAATCTACATTGAAAGCCTAGTTTGTCCTTTCTCTACAGTAGGGACTGAGGATGCAACAAAAATGGGACTGAAAAGCTCTGGTTGCGGAACAATGAAATAACTTGTAAGAGTACTTTCTTGTCAAGTGTTGTTGAATTATGCTTATTTTAAAACTTGTTAGTCATTTTCCCTTATGCTCTATTTTCAAGTAACAATAATTTTGTCTTCAACTTCATGCAAAATGGCGCTGGAAATTGTTTCTCTTATTTGAGCAGTGTTTCGAGAATATGTTATAGCTCTAGACTTTGTAAAAAACAAAGAAGTGCGATCTAGGACGACTTCATTTTTATTTTTTACTGAAAAAAACTTAACTAGGAAAACCAGAGGAATCTCGTCAATTCTTGTACAAAGATTAAGGTCGGGTAAAGTATCTAGTTTTTGGTTTTCCCTTGCTGCGAATAGCTAAGTGTTCGGTTTCTTGTGGGCTAGTTTTGGTCTTCCCTTGCTGCTAATTGGTTAATTGTCTTTTCTTCGGAACTATCTTCTCTTCTTTCACTTTATTAGTAACAATAACATAAGAAAGACGGCATTGCAAGGAGAGAGTATTTTAGGAAGCTCGTAGGATTGTTGTAACAGAAGGTTTCCTTCCCTTGAATGCCTGCTGTGTGTGTAATCAAGCTGAGGTTGATCTGCTAATTACAGATGAAGTAAATGCTATTTCTCCCTTTTAATTGTTCATGTTTCCATTTTTTTTATGGTTTCTGCAAATTTATTAAACTAATCATCCTTGTAGGGGAGCACGTAATGCGCACCAGAAAGATGCATAACCCCTGTTTCTCCCGTTTTCCAAAACGAACTGAGGATACAACAGGAATGAAGGTTGCAGAAGCTCAAATGGACACAATTGTTCAAGTAGCGGATCCCATCTTGTTTGGGACTGAGACATAGTCATAGTTGCTATGATATATAGTTTCGAGTTTTTCCTTTGCTGCTAATATCTACCTTTCTGTTTCTGTTCTGAACTTGTTTTGGTGTTTTTCTACTGCTAATCAGTAGTCTGTTGATTGTTGTCCTTCTCTATAACAACAGAGTTATTGCTTGTCATTTGACATATCAGTGAGGTGCTCTGTGAATTGCTATGTTTAATGTACTATACTTTTGTGAAGTGAAACCTAGCCAACAAGCTGAAACCTATGTTGTTCGGACTCTTTAAAAATGTCATCGCACAAATGTTGGATCTGTTGACACGGTGCATACTGTGATATTTTTGAAGTGTCCGAGCAATATAAACAAACTATCAAGAGGCTTGGAACCGTGAAGATTTCAGTAATTAGCCTCCAGTATGAACAAGTAAAGCAAATGCTAGCAATTATTTTTGCTCATCTTTTCAAAATTTTATGATTCTACAACAACAACATACTCCATGTAATTCTACAAGTGATGTTTGGTGTGGTGGTGCATACGCGGACTTTACCCTTACCTTGTGACGGATGGAGAAATTTCACGAATAGCCGTTTTTAGAGCTGGTAAGAAAAAAAAATTGTCCCCATTTATATTACAAAAAAACATTGAAAAATACTCGCTTTGTCCCTAATTACTTGTCCACTTTTGAATTGACACACCTATTAAGAAAACAACAATTGACATAGTGAGTTTACCATTTTACCTCTATTAATTATAAAGTGTGTGAATTAAAAACTAAGATTTTCAAGAAGTTCTACCTTTTTCAAAATAATTAATTGATGGTATAATAGGTAAAAAAATTGTCCTTTCTTTATTTGTCAAAATGGACAAATAAAAAAGGAAAATTGGACAAATAATTAGAGACAGAGAGAGTAAATATTTTCAACACAAATAAAATTTGGACAAATATTGTGCACTTTGAAAAAGCACAAAAGCATAATGAGTTGTAGACAATAGCATGATATTTATGTAGGGACGAGGACCATTATTTGCGGATAATATATCAAATAAAAAAAAATCTTGCTTAGTTAATTAATCTTTTCACGGATAATATATATATATAGTGATGGAACCAAAATTCTACTAAGAGGTGTCAAAATATAAAGAAGTAAAATCGCATAGAAGCCAAGGAGTGTAAATATGTAATATATATACATTAAAAATATTTTTATTTTAGCTACACTGTATTTTTCCAACGAAGGATTGTCGATCGACACCCCTCAACTACATGTGGCTATGCCACTATATATATATAGGGAGAAAAACCTAACTATACAATTTAAACACCCAAATTACTCCTATATAACAGTAATTTGACTTTTCATCGGCATAGCAATAAAATCCTTACAAAACAGAACAAAACTTTTTTTAAAAAAAATACCAAAATATAATAAAGGAGTAATTTTTTCTTAAAGAGTATTTTCTAGTCTCAAGCCAAAAAAATACAAGATATTTTCTAGAAAATATTTTTCATTCACCAACCAAACATTAAAAAATATTTTTCAGATAATATTTTCTACTCACCAATCAAACATGAGAAAATAAATTAGAAATCCACTTGTTTTCCAAGAAATTAAACATTTTTTAGGAAAATATTTTCCTTCATACCAAACACACCCTTTGAAACAGATTGGAATCGTAAGAGGGTTTTTATTAGAAGCGTTGAGAGGATTTTAGTGATGAGCTCTGGTGGAAGGGTAGGGATTTTCGAGATTAAATCTTCCATTGGAAATGATGGAAATTGAGAGAATGGTTTGTGAGTTTTACTTGTGCATGGGAGAGGAGCCATTGCCAATGTGGAATTGTAGAAATCACATAAGTCCTTACAAAATTGAACTCTTAGAACTCTTATGCTTTTGTGCTTTTTCAATTGCACGATATTTGTCCAAATTTTATTTCTATGTTGAAAATATCCATTTTTCTATGGGGCAATTTTTTTACTCACTAGTAGGGGTGTACATCGGTTGGTTCTGTTCAATTTTATGTATTATTGGTGCAGTTTATAACCAATAAGAAAATGCTTATAAAACTAATATATAACGTCTCCAACAAGTTGACACAACAAGACAATAACGTAACTTACAAATGTTCATAAAATAGAAACAATAATAACTAACATGAAAAGAATTATACAAGTGTAATACAAAGAGAAATTAAGAGGAATATGATTCTTACTTTAGGTTTTGATGTTTTGTATAATGTGAAGTTGTGAACTCAAAGTCATTGTGAAGTGTGAATTGAAGGTTAAACCGCAAAGGCATTAACTAGTAAGGTATTGAGATTATATTTAATATTTATGTACGGGAAAAACAGTAAATTACTACAATCTTAATGAGTTACGGTTTATCCAATAACCCAATATCAAAAAACCAAAACCAAACCGATAACCAGATAATTTTTTTTATAAAATCATTAAAAATCCGTTAACCAATAATAATAAACTAATAATACTTTTTTCGGTTCGATTTATCGGTTGGTTTGGTTTTTGTCCACCACTAATTACATAGGATTCACAAAATATGTCAAATGACAAGCAATAACTCTGTAGATGTAGAGAAGGACAACACTAAACAGACTACTGATTAGCAGTAGAAAAACACCGAAACAAATTCAGAACAGAAACAGAAAGTTAGATATTAACTGTGGAAGTAGGTCTCTTCCTATGAGAATTGGGCTTATTCTCAAATGCACTCATGAAATCGGGATAGCACAAGGCCATAACGTGCTGGGTATAAAGCTCATGTCAACACCTTGATTATTATGTGTGAGCAGTGATATTTTATTTCCCTTAAGCAGTCATAGTTCAAGTCTGAGACCACTACGACTCTGGAGTAAAAATTATTGTTTCACTAAGTGAAAGTTCAATGCAGAGCATACCTTCATTATGCATAATAGTCTTTCTTCAGCTGATATACTCACTTGTCTAATACTTAAAATGAGTGGGGGATTGTTGTGGCATTTCAATATTATTATACTTTGCTAAATGTCATTTGCTTTCTGCCTAATAACACATCATTAGGTGCATTACTACCGTTTGGCAGTTGATGACATTTGATGTCATCTTTATAATCATTTGGCTTAATTGCCATTACTTTGTTATAACGTTGCTGAGAACGTTGTAGTGGCTGTCCGTTTTGCGGTTTTTCTGGCAGAAGATGTAATGGTTCTCCATTATCTCATTCTTAACTCCTCCATTATTCTTGTAACCTATGTAACTCCTAAGCTCATTATCTTCACTATTTACTACACCATTTATCTTCTTATTCATTGCTAGGAAGACTTCTTCTAATATAAATAGTGGTGGTCTTCATTTGGTTTGAAACACACAACACACAAGAAAAATATAGAGTGCATAAAGTTTGTCAAAAAGAGAGTTCTTATTAGTTGAAGGGAGGTGTTATGAACCAAGTCCAACCCAATAGGAATACCAAGATCACACAAATAGTTGTTGGGCTGGCAAGACCTATTGGGCTGAGAACAAGCAATTGGGCCAGACTATGTTTGGGATCCGGGTTGATAAATACGACTTGGGAGAGCAAATTGGACTTATGCAAATTGTTGAGAAAATATCCAAGTCCTCTCATCCCCTTTCTATGAGTTCTTCTTCTCATCCCTTTCTTGTACTTGTGTTCTTCCATTTCCATTTAGTTCTTAAATTCCTTTGTAATTTCAATTACGATTTAGTGAAATAGACTTGTTGGTTGTTTGAATTTGAATTGAGTGGTCTTTGTTATTGGGTTTGTTACAGGAGGTGTTCTTTTTTGTGGAGCTTTGGACTCAACTCTTGTCCAGAGTTGTTGAGTTATACTTTGTGAAGGCTGTTGTATCCTGGAGGGGACAAGTCAAAGAGGACTACTGTTGGACCGGTGAAAACATTTGCTGCAGTGGGCTTGAATCTCCTTAAAAAGAATGAGATATCCGTGCCTCAGCCTGAAGAGATTTCTGTTTCTTCATTTTATTTCAATTGTAATCTTGTAATTTTATTATCTTGTAATTTTTCACTAACACCTGCGAATAATCCAGGTGTTTTATCTCGGTAACAGACTCATTAAATAAAGAGCTAAGACTTTATAAAACATCAATCAAAATGTATTCACAGGTTAAGCACATACACCAGCTGCAGTGAAAAGATCCTTTTTTATGTTTAAAATGATTCAC